TGCCAGAAGAGCAGCGCTGGGAGCCTGCTCTACCCAGGCCCTGCACACGCAGCAGGCCTTCTGCAGGAGGACCGGCGGCAACCATGGGACACAGGTCGAGAGAGACACTCGTCACAACATGGAGTAGTTCTAGGCTCTTACTGGAAGCTTCGCACCAACAGAACAAAGTATCTGTTTCCAAGAATTCTCAAGGAAGAACTCCACACAGCAACTTCTGTCTAGAGGCTGCTTCCAAGGGAAGATCAGTTTCTGTGACAAAAGGGGCTGATGGCGCTACTTGCAGTTTCAGGGGGAGGAGGCGCTCAGGACTTTGTCTCCCACCAGGCACCAACTACCCTTCAGCACCATTTAATTCTCCACACACCAGACATCTCCCTCTCCTAAAAACCCCAGGGAACACGCTCCAGCAGCACAGAAAAGGTCCAGGGGGAGAAAAATCAAGACAAGTGATGCTCCAGCGTCCCCTTAGCTGGGATCTAAGAGGTGATAAAAGCTCAGCTAGTGCATAGAGCTGAGGTTGGCCTGTCCACTCCTGCGCACACGGGAAGATCCTTGTACCTCGTCCTGCATGCCTATCTGTACCTGGCCACCACGAGGACTGGAAACGCTCCCCTTGTGTTCTTTATATGTGGACTCTGGAGTCTAAACCATCTGTTTTCTTAGAAAGCCAGCCCACAGTCCACAGCAGTATCTCCGTGCACTTGGAATCGTTCCAGGGGGAGGGACTTTCCTCAAAGCCAATGGCGGCTCTGGTGGTAATGGAACTCTTAATCATTTTTTGTTGAGAAACCAAGGAATTCCCTCATGTCTAAACCTTACAAAATGGTGTCACAGCCATTAAGGATGCACAGGCGCCTAGTTTCTAAGCCGGCACTATTTCTGGGTAACCTGTTTCTCGCCTCTTTCCTCAGAACTCGGGCTATTTTTCAGTCAGACCTTCTTTCCATGATGCTGATAAGCCATACATGCAATGGACACGCCTAACCTGGGGCTCCATCTCCTCTGAGTCCCCTGAGAAACCCTCAGCAGAGAGTCAGCCCAGGAGGCCGGGCACAGTCCACTACGAGGTGTGGTCAGGCCTTGGCAGAGTCAGCTCCAGCTCCAGGTGGTGCTCATCATGGAGACACAGCACCCACTCGAAGCACCCCCTCAGTCTCCCCAGGGCTGATCTGACCGGGTGTGGTGGGTCCTGCCCAGGAGGGTGCTCACAGCAGGAGGGAGCAGAACTCAGGACCCCTTCCCAGCTGGACTATTCCCCACTCTAGCCCCCCAGAGATGCCCATTAGCTGGGCACAGCTCCCTCCCTGCTGGCTCAGGGCCTTTGACCAGGAGGGTCCAAGTCTACAACCTGAGACAAAGGTAGAGGAAAGAAGGGGTGAGAAAGTCGCAGGGTCCATGTCTGGCTTGCCTAGCTTGCTGATCAGTCCTGGGAGGAGTCAGGAAGGGAGGTGGCTCAGGGCCTTCCTCCTCCCAGTGTGGATCCTGGGCCCCCCTCAGGGCTGGAGTCCAGAGAACAGAAGGCTCCACAACACCTGACCACTCGCTGCTCCTCCTCCCACGAGGGCTTCCTTCGGTTCCCTCCTCCTCTGGGCTCTGCTCTCAGTCACCAGGAACTGGAGAAGAGACTCATCACCCAGCAGGATGAGTGTGACTGCAAGCAGCTAGAGTCTCCTTCCTGCTCTTAACTACACATCAAAGTGGCAAGGCCACAGGGAGGAGCACCTGAGAAGGGGCAGAAGCACTGGCCAGTCCCTCTAGGAATGAAAGCTCCAGAAACTGGGGTGCGCATCCTGTTGCTCTTAGGGCAGTTTGTCCTGCTAAATAGGGACTGTAAGTCAGTTTCTCTGTTTCTGTCTCAGTGGGAAAATTAATTTTTTCTTTGGCAGATGGTTGAGTCACAAAGACAGAAGGATTCATAAAATTCACATGAACATCCTGTAAACATTTAAACACATAAAGATTAAATAAGGCAGCCATGACCTTGATTAAACTATTTTTTATGTCTACAGCATGAATCCCTACAATGCACAGGCCCAACTTCTCCCTGCCTCGCGCTGCATTGTGTGTTGTGTGCACATGTAACCACGTGCTGCTTGGTTAGCTTCTTTCCAAACAGGAAATACAAGGCATTCATGGAAGCCATGTTTGGAACACCTGGAAGGAAAGCTCTGACTGGTTCTCCATTGCCTCGAATGGACTCTACAACATGGGAGTCAAAACAAGGTCCTCGGACAAGTTGTAGAAAACACATTCCCTGAGCCCTCGTTTCAGCCCTTTCCAGTTAGTGTTTTGTCCCCACCAGAGATGCTGGCCAGGGCTGATTTCACCATGACTGGCAATCCTGGCCAACAGGGGCTGAATGACCGGTTCAGGCTCAGGAGCAGACAGACAGGACCTGAGCCCCGTCCTGTTCAGCCCAGAGCATCCTCTCCAGGACTGTAAAGCCCAATGTCAAAGCCTCCTCCCCACAATCAGCTGGTGAGATTAGTACTGCCCTCCTGCAGGGAAATTTTATGAACCGACTCTGCCAGCATAATCTCACCAAGAGCTTAAAGCCACGCTCCTCTCAGGCCAGAATACTGCCAGGCTTCTGAGAGGGAGATGCTCCAGATGGAGGGACACGGTGTCAGCTCCCCCACACTGTCCTTAGACTGCTCAGCACGCTGAGGCCTTGAAGGTTTTTCCAGCAGTGTTTGTTACCTGGTGTAGATTTGCCCTTTCTTGCAAGGCTTTTTATTGCTCTTGGCTAAAGACACCGGACAGAGACAGCAGACCTGACTCTCAGGCAGGCAGGCTGTTCTGCAGGAGAACTTGAACTTGATGTGCTGGGAGCTGACAGTTCCTTGGAGGCCCTGTCAACCATCCATCCAGTAAACACCGGCACTACCCGGAGCAGAAACAGACCCAAACCCAAGCACAGAACAAGACTCTGCACCTGTCTTGAAGCAATTATTGACATTATCGCTGCACAATGAATCTCTTTTTGAAGTTGTTTTCCTGATATTTAGCAGTTTGAATACTAATCCCCTTAACAAAACTGCCCAGGCCTCCCCCTCAGCTCCCCCTGCACTGCCTTCTCTCCAGGGAGGGGTGCGGTACCGGGGCAGTCTACTTTGCAGCACCTGGATTTGCACTGATTCCGCTCTTGTCATTCATGTTACCAACAAGAATTAGCATAAGGCATTAAGGGGAAACTCTGGAGGAGAAAAGAAAGGCCATTTTGATGGAAATAAGGGGCAAAGGAATAATCTGCCATCAACTAAAATGCTTATTTGTGTATGGTTTCCCAAGCAAAGCTTAGAAAAAGCCTATGTTGATTTTAGTACACAAAGAAACCTTAATCCTTTCAAGGCGACTAAATCACCCCCAGAAAAGCAGCTCAGAAGAAAGGGCCCTGTCAGGGGATGACTATTCACAACCAAATAGATGCCACAAATCACACTCTGTAAGTAAACAAAAATAAGAATGTGGGAAAGGTTGACTGGAAGGGGGGGGGGGGCAGGGGTGCAGCTCTTCAGTCCCTCTCCATAGCCCTGAGGGGTCTTTCAGGGCCAGGGAGGCCCAAGGCCGGCCCAGAGCCAGCGCCTTCAGGGCAGCCCCAGGAAGGGGAAACACATTCCAAAGCTTTTAATAGCAAATTAGCAAAAAAAAAGACTCAGTCCTGTCTGGCTGTCTGGGCAGGTTAGGAGTCCCAGAAGCCTCTTTGGTGCCCTCCCCTGCCTCAGTCTCCCTCTGGTACCCTGAGTTCTCACAGGACACCCCAATGTCTTCCCAGGCTCTTCCCTCATCAAAATGACAGTAAACAATTATGTATTTTTACGCATGAGCACTGTCTGCTAGGAACTGCACATATCTTCTTTTATAGGGCTTTTAGCATTATGGATAACAAATTTATACAAACTTTCAGTCCATCAAAAAATATGATGAAATATAAAACTGGAACTCTATTATGCAATAAAAAAGATAAAATTCAATATGACAGTAATTCTGGGAGTAACAGCAATCACATGAGCACACACACCTCAAGGGAATGCTAAACATAATGTACTATTTAAAATTGCAGTTGGTTCAAATTCCAAAATAATCTGGGAGTCAAAATAACTGCACTTGGAAACATCTTACTAACCAGCTAACAAAAATGCTAGCCAAGGCACCCGGAAGGCTGAAATGGCCTCACAGTCCCCTTGAAGAGAAGCCACTCTTATCCAGGGCTACCAAGATCCCTGGTGTGACAGAGAGAAATTATCACAGGCAGACCATCTTCTTTATTTAGCAATTATCCTGCAAGGCCCTAAATCAGGTTCTATAGTGGAAAAGCAAAGACTAAATAGTTTGTATAATTTATACCTTTCAAATTACACACCTTCAAAGCCCATGATTAGAGACTTCCCTAAATTTCATTATTTCCAACAATACTGCTACAAATGAAAACTGCCAAGAAGCCTACTGGCAATGATTTAAGATAAGTCCTCCCTTAATGTACTGCTATATCATTAGCCTCTCTTACTCTAGATAGAGGACTGGAAGAAATTAATGGGGATAGTGCATATTTAAATTCTGCCCTCTTGCTCGTTTATTAACTTTACAGAAAGCCCACAGCAGTGTAAGGCTTGGTTTATGGCCGCAGAACTGTGAATACTAAGCACCAAGGGTCAGTCACCGCAGTGGGCACTGTAGAGGACTACTGAATCCCTTTGCTAGGGAGCTGGCAAGCCACAGCCAAGCTAGGACGTCTGAGAGACCTTCCCGCTTGCAGTTTCCACAAGAGGCCACAGTCACACGGGCAGCAGTGGGCTCCCACCCAAGGACTCAGCATGTTCTTTTAAGATACTCTTAATGCATCATAAACGTTCAGATCTGTCTCAAGCATAAGCACAGAACGTGAACAGCAGCTCAGAAGGAAAAGCAGAAGACCACACTGGTGTCCTTCCCTTTCCTCCCAGACGAGGACAACAAGGAGATTCACGTTAAAAAAGCCACCACTCAGAAGAATGAAGGAGCCTTACCTTTGTTCACAATTACAGTGTTGAAGAGCTTTTCAGAGCTGGCATCTGAAGCCTGAAAAACAAGAAGGGGAGGAAAGGGTTAGGCCTGCTGTTGACACTGTGGGCCCATCATCAATACCACCACCTTAAACTACTTCACTCCTTTGAGGACAGCCTAACAGGGAGAGCAGCGTTTCCCGAATCATCCACAAGGTGGTGCTAGCCGACTGCTGGAGAGGGCTGCAGTGCAGCTATTTGCTGGAGAAAAAAATCTGCTTTTAAAAATGTGTCCTTATTAGACATATTATCTGTGCAAAACATGTTTCTATGAGATGATACACAAAGCAATTCAGCTCATTCGCATAATGATTTTCCAATTTCGCTGACAGATCATTATTTTGGAAATGGTATTTTTGCATGCTACTTGCAGACATGCCTATTTTTCAATTTTCTCCACAAATCAGAAATGCCTACTATTTAATGCTAAGCTTTTTTCACTAAAGTGTCAGCCAATACTCCCAGAAATTAATTTTCATCTGATGAACCTAAAGATCCCTGTTTCTCAGAGTCACCAGGACGAGTTTATGATCAGACACAAGCGACCTGCCCAGACCCCATCACTTTACATGACACCAGCATGAGTCCCTTCCCATTTTCTACAGTTCATGTCTGCTAATTATTACAGTGGCTTGAGGAAAGCGAAATAAGCCTGTCTAAATAGCAAGACGAAAGCCAATTTAAATTATACACTGATGTTCTGGAAAATAAACATTTAAGTCGGTTTAGTGGAAAATGCTGGAATGTTTCAGAAGCACTGAATATTTGTAGGACTTGAAAAAATAAAAATGAAGCAACGTGCTACAAGAATTTTAAGGTATATTTCCACTCAAAGGCATAACACCCTCCTTCACACTTCACAAGCCACGCAAAGGAAGGCATGCAATGTGAGGACACTGGGAGCGGGATCTGAGGTACAGTGCTTTCTCACTCTGGGGCCAGCTTTTAGGGACAAAGAAGATACTCTGCTTAGTTTTTCCTCTTTACTCTGAGTGAGACATTCCAGTGCATATCGGGGAGACGTTCTGTTTTCAGTGCAGGTGATTTAAAAAATGACAAAATATTTTTACTATGGCTATTTTCCCTTTCTTTTAATTCTAATATTCTATCTATAGGGATAGTTCAGAAGATTAATGGAATTGAGGGGGAAAATTAATGTGCAGAGTAAGTACTCAACTGCACACAATTATACTGTTCAAAATAAACCCTGGACTTTTCCTCCTCTGCAAGAAAAACAAAAGTACACTGACAGCCTTGATGACATCTTAAACAAAACTAAATAAAAGTAAATATCACAGTAGCTTTTCACAAAAATCAACTACTAGAAAAAGTGTTGCATGGGGGGAGGGACAAGTTATGCATCAAACAGATCAAGACTACCAAGTTAACCAAAAATGACACTAATGGTGTTGTTATCCTGAAGCATTAAGGGAGATTTCTAAGCATACGAGTTTCCCAGCTAAAAACTTCCCAATGTGAATATTTTGCTATTCTTCAATGAAAAAGTATCTGTTAGGATGGCCCGGAATTCTCTTGAAATGGCTGGTCCATTCATAGCTTAAAAAACAAACTGGAGCTGATTTTTTATTTTTATTTTTATTTAAATGTTAAATCATTTTGCCAAGCTGAAATAATCCTTAAAAATTAAGGGATTGCCTGTTAAGAGGATTCCAACTGGCCCAAAGAAATAATAAACAAATGACGGCCCCGCATATGCAGAAACACAGGCAGGGAAAGGAAATGGACCCGAAGAGTTTTCCTTGCACTGGGTGTGGGGGAGCAGGACCTCTGTTTGGCCACTCAGAGCCTTCTTGGACTGCCACCATTGTGAGCTGCACGGGGCTCTGCAGTCCTGATAGGCAGGTAAGGGTTCTTCTGTCTGAACCCAACTTGAGGACTTGATTATTAAGATGCCAACCAGCAAGTTATGAAGGAGGTGAGTCTCACAAGGTATGCGAAGGCTTAGGAGGGTGTCTCCTAATAAAAGATTTTTGAGCCCTTTAATTTACTGACTTGTCACAAAGCTTGAAATGCCGCCTCCTGTAACCGGGCAAGGGACGTTTCAAAAAGGCCTCCGTGGAAAACACCCAGAAGATGGTGACCGCAGTGGGCCTCTGGCCCCCGTAAAAGGCTTCCGAATCCCCTTCTCCCAAGCAGGTGGCTCAAGTCATGCCGGCTCGGTCCCAGAGGCAGAGCCGAGCTTCTCGGCCTATGCGTGAAGCGGAAGCCGCCGACACCTCCACCCCTCCGCGGTGAACTTTCCTCCACTTGCACTTTCCAAGCATTTGCACCGATCGTTTGGCTCCTTGGGTCCGCATCGTGGGCACGTTTTCGTTATTTGCAGGAAAAACGTCTGCAATGCCTTCCACTGTTGGGATCGTTCTCCTCGGTAGTTTAAACCAAGACGAAGCTCGGGGGCGCGGGGGCGAGCGGGGCCTGGCGGCTGCCTTCGCGGGACGCCCCTGCCCGTGACGGCCCGCGCTCGCCGCTGGGTTTCCTCCCTCGCCGGCTCGGAAGCGTCCGGAGGCGAGGCCAGGGCTCGGAAACCCGATCGTCTCCGGGCTTTTTGTGTACGTGGATGGGGGCTGTTTTTCCCCGTGAAACTAAACAATTACTAGAAACCGTAGTTGACGTTTAAAGAAAAGTTAAATAAGTCCGACCGATCGAATGGAGACTTCGGGCGAGAGACCTCCGCGCCCCCGGCGACTCCCGCGGCGGGTGCGCTCTACCCCTGGGGCCGCAGACCTGGGGCGGCGCCCGCGGAGGGCAGACTCTGCAGCCAGGAGCGGAGCCTCCCCGAAACTTAGGCGCGAAAAGATCCCTGTTTCTCAGAGTCACCAGGACGAG